ATCAGTTTAAACGAGCCACATTTCAAGGGCGTAACAGTACCTTGCGGCTACACACTGGATAGCGCAGATCTAGAGGAAATCAGACTCACTGAGGAAACAAAGGGAATTTCTCCCCTCTACTTCAACCCTGAATCCCTCTGGAATAATTCCTTGATTAAAGCAAAAGTTTCTGCAAGTAAAATTAACACAGACAACATGAGAGAACAGCAAAAATGAACAGACTTTAGCAGAGTTGGTAGCTACCACTCACTCTTTCCTCCCAGTTGCATCAACACCCCTCAGAACTGTTCCCATCTGAGAGAAGGCATGAAAATCTTTCTGTTCCATCCAGAACAGGCACCTGCATTTCCTACTGCACTTACTCACCATGAAGCAGGATCCTCCTCGTGCGGACAAGGAAATGGGCTCAGAGGTGTTACAACCCAAACCCTGCTTCCCACAGGCCCACTGAGGAAAACGGATACACCTGAACAACATTTCCCATTTCAGGCCTCACAAGCCAACCCTCTTACCCAAAGCCCTACATTTTACCCCACATATATGTCTCCCTTTAAGCAAATGAGATCAAGCTTTAGCTAGTCTAGAGGGCTACACAGGCTCTGGACGTGGTCAGAAGCCCTACAGCACACAAGAAAAGACACTTTTTGAAAAAAAAATTGTTTTTATTGGAACTCATCTGAACATCAGATATACCTGGTGTTGGTTAGCAAGAACCGTTTGTACATTTGATATTGATGGTGCCAAAACCAAAACAGTGACTGGACATGATGGGGAGAGATGCTGAGAACAAAAACCTGATTTTGGAGAGGAAAATAAAAGCCAGTCAGATTCAGTGAGGATGCAAAACCTGGTACAACAAAATCCTTTTACAAAATATAAATTTATTACGAAAACCTGGAAGGATACTCTGAGAAAGGGGAAGAAAGGTAAAAGGAGGCCAGCAGGAAGGAGGCAGGAGGAAGGGAAAAGGAAGAGAGAGAAGACAAAGAGATGAGAGGAAGAAGAAAATATAGTTGCGTACAACAGAGGTGCAGAAGCTTACCTGCCCAAATGGCACGAAAGCCTTGCTGTGTAATCTCATCATAAAACAAAGCATGCTGAAATACAGTGCTCTACCTCCCATCCCTTCAATTTCTAAGAGGTAAATAAAGATGTTCCCTGGGAGGGGGATATGAGGTTGCTCAAAACCCAACAACGGGGGGAGAAGGGGAGAGAAAAAACCCAGTCTCATTTCCGA